TGCTATGGACACCGTAGGTAGGATGGACTGGCCCGTGGCCATCGTGCTGCGCCCTCGTCGGGGGACACTGGTGCCTGGGGAGGTGGCCGCAGGGCCATGGGTGTGGGGGGGCCACAGCCCAACCCTGCCAGCCACTCCTGGGGACACCCCTCGGGTGGCTGTGGGCGCTGCTGGCCGGTCGTTGGTGCTTCTCCCCCAGGGTGCTGGGTTGGCCACCCCATGTATTGCTGGCCTCCAGTAAGCAACGTTACTGGAGAAGGTGGTCAAGGCTGTGGGGCTCTCCCAGGGCTGTGGGGCTCGGGGTTGGGGGGGAAGGCAGTTTGGGGCGTCTCCAACCAGGGCAGTGTTGATAAACCCGCCGGAGCGACCTGAGGCTGGTGTCTGGAGTGTCGGAAACAGAAACCAGCTGGGACCAACCCAGCCGGTTGGACTGCCCCCTCCGCCGCTCCGACCAGCATTCTTGGCATCCCAATCATCTCCAGAGCCACCGGGCGGGCGGGCGGCGAGTGAGGAGCCAGCCACCGGCCGGGCTGGTGAGCCCCCGGGGTGGGCAACCCCGACCCCCGCCCCGGCCACGCTGCTCACATCTGGCTGCCCTGGCCCCACGGGCAGCGCTGGCCGGGGACAGAGGGACGGACGGGCAGACAGACAGACAGACTCCCTGGATTGTGTTTGCTGCGCCGGGAGAGCTGCTGGCGGTCTGCGGCGCAGGCACGGCAAGGTGAAAAGCTTGGTGGGGAGGTTGCTTCGTTAGCACCGATGCTCTAATTGAGGGCAGAGGGCGGTGGGGCTGGCGGGGACCTGACCTTTCGGGCAGGATCTTTGGGGCAGGACCTCTGTGGCACCTTGTTGTTAGAGGGAGGGTTGTGCTTTGGGCTTAGCCCGTGGCAGGGACATGAGTGTGCCGGTGCTGTGCCCGGTGCCAGCCTCCTGGTAAGCCTGGCACGGGGGTCTTGCCACCCTGGGTGAGATGTGGTGGCCGGTGGCCCCTTCCAAGTGTGCCCCGGGCTCTGGTCCCCCGCGGTACCAGGTACCTCTTATCTCGGTAATGTCAGGAATGCACCACGCCGGGCTCTTTTCCGGGCTCTTTTCCTCCCTCCGTGGTGAGCCAGGCGTGCCAGGAGCGGAGACCCCACACCCTGCCTGCCCTGCCTCACGCAGGCAGCGCTGCCGGCTGGCACCCGGCTGGGTGCCCAGGTGTGCCAGGCTCGAGCATCCTTGGGGCTCCCCAGGGCATCGGTCCCCTAAACCAGGGTATGGTGTCCCCCTCCTCGAAGGGGGTTTGGGAGGAGATTTTTGCCCTCCTCCTGGCAGAGGAGCTGGGCTGCAGGGTGCCAGGCCTGGGGGCGCAGGGTGGCATGGCAGCCAGGCTGGTGCTGGCAGGACCTGGCAGTGCCCAGGGCCAGGTGCTGGGTTTGCTGGTGGCAAGTGGTGGGGCTGTGCCATCCCCTCGACCCTTCAGGTCTGCACCCACCCTGCCGGTGATGTGGCCCCCTGGTGCGGTGCCTCACAGGGGGGTTTGGGGGAGAGCTGGGTCCCTGGGTGAGGGCACAGGGATGTGGTGCTGCCAGCGGGCACCACTCGTGGCACTGGTCCCTGTGCTAGTGCAGGAGCCCCAGGTGGCTGCTGGAGTCTTTGAGGGGTCTGGGTGAATGGCTGGGGACTGCTCTGACTTTACTGGGGAGTTGGTCTCATGCAGCACCCCCAGCATCCTTCTCCACCCTGTGACACCCCCAGCATCTTTCTCCCCCTGCAATGCCCCCAGCATCCTTCTCCCCCGTAATGCTCTCAATGTCCGTCTCCTCCACAGCACCCTCAGTGTCTTCTCCTGCAGCACCCCCAGCATCCTTCTCCCCTGTGATGCCTTCAGCATCCTTCCCCCCCGCAGCATCCTTCTTCCCTGTGGTGCTTTCAGCATCCTTCTCCCCCTGCAACGTCCCCAGCATCCTTCTCCCTGGCGCAGGCTCCTGCCTGGCTGACCCTCCCTAGAGCCCCCCCATGTCCCCAGACAGTAACGTGGGCTGGAGAAGGATGGGCTGGCCTGGCTGTGCTCGCCCCATAGGAGCTGTCACCTGCCCCACTTGTGGAGAACCCCATCGTAGGGGTGGTGGGTGCTTGCCCTGTAGATGGAAGGCCCAGCAAGCACCCGTGCCATTGGCCTTGCTCGCCCAGTGGGGAGCAGATTAAAGAGCCCTGCAGAGGGTAATCTGCCCAGGCCTTGCAGGTCAGCCGGGCTGCCAGGGATTACAGCTCCTCCTAATGAGCTTAATTGGGACAGTGTTGTCCTGGAAACTGGAGGGACTGGCACCAAGATAACGCCGAGGCGGTGGCACCCGCAGAGCGACTCCGTGGTCCTGGGCTGGGACCCTGGTGCCCAGAGGGGACCAGATGGACCTGCCGTGTCCTGGCTTCGTGGGGATGATGGTTATCGGCGGTGGCTGGCTTTGATTCCGAACGGCTGCGGCTCATCCCGAGCGCTGGGAATGCCCGGCCCCAGCCTGGCATGCGGGGAGGTGATGGCGTGGCTGCGGGGCGGTGGGGACCACAGCGCCGGGGGCATGGCCGCTGGTGGCCGAGCAGGTGCGTGCCGTGCCACGATGCTCCCAGCTGGGATCATCAGCTGGGAAGTGGTGGGAATGGTGGCAATGTGGTGGGACGCCTGGCAGTGTCTGCATCCCTGTGCCGTCCCTGGGCAGTGCTGGGGCAGGAGGAAAGGCAGAGCAAGCCCCTTAGGGAGGCAGGGGGTGTCTCTGGCTGGCATTGGCTTGGCCCCCTCTGCCAGCCGGGGAAGCTTTGCATCCCTAGGACCCTCCCTGGCCTTCTGTAGCAGGATCCCTGACTGCCGGGCACTGTGTGGGCTCATCCCTGGCAGCTCCTGGCTCCCCAACCGGCAGCTCGGCTCTGGGGGCTGGCGGGGACACAGGGACCAAGTTGGCATCAGGGGTGAAGTGGAGCATCCAGCAGCCTGTGCCCTGCTCCTGCCCTGCAGGTTGGGGTCCCCTGTGTGCCCCCCCAGCACTGCTGGAGGTGATAGGGCCAGGAGGAGCCCTGGGATCCCCTGCTCTTCACCTTGGCCAGGGCTGTGGCAACGCTTCCTGTGACACAGGGTGACAGCCCCAAGGCTCGGAAATCTGCTCTGTCCTGGCTGGCATCGATGGCACCAGCCACCGTGGGGACAGGCAGGTCCCAGCAGCGGGGTCGTGGCTCCCAGCACCGGCTCTGGTGCTGCCAGGAGCAGAGGACACGGCTGCGGTGGCCGTGGGGCTGGACACGTGCTGCCTGCCTGGACTTCCCGGGGTCCGGCAGGGAATGGCTCGGCCTTTCCTTCCCGGCTGCAGAGCTCCTGGTGGGGCTGGGGACTTTCCAAAGCGCTTTGTTGTCCCTGGGTTTCCCTCTTGGTTGCCAGAGGGAGCGGAAGCAAGCACGGAGACAGCGAAGGGCTGGGCGTCCGGGTCCGGCCCCGCACCCTTCCTGCCCCTGCAGCCGTGGCAGGAGTGACAGCGGGACAGGGGACAACTCGGGGTTCAGGAGGGGGTGGCAGGGCTGGGGCACAGTGAGGGGTTTGCCATGGTTGGGGACTGTTTAGTATGAGGAAGAGGAGGCTGAGGGGAGACCTCATCACTCTCTACAATTACTTGAAAGGACACTGTAGAGAGGTTGGTGCTGGTCTCTTCTCACAGGTAATTAGTGACAGAACAAGAGGGAATGGCTTCAAGCTCCAACAGGGTAGGTTTAGACTGAACATCAGGAAGGAATTTTTCACAGAAAGAGTGGTCGGGCATTGGAACAGGCTGCCCAGGGAGGGGGTTGAGTCACCATCCCTGGATGTGTTTAAGGGACGTTTAGATGGGGTACTGAGGGATATGGTGTAGGGGAGGACTATGTAGAGTAGGGGAGATGGTTGGACTCGATGATCCCAAGGGTCTCTTCCAACCTGAATGACTCTATGATTCTATGGTTGTGTCTGGGATGGGCCACCATAAACACTGGGCATCAGCCCCTTCCTTTGGCTCCCAGGGGGCAAAGCTGGGACGTGTCCGTCCGTCTGTCCCCACTGAGTGCTCACAGTGTCCTGAGCCCTGCTTCACCCAGGGCAGGGTGACACCATTGCGGGGGACAGCTTGAGACCAGCATCCCTGGTGCCACCAGGTGCCACCTCCTTGAGGGAGGGAAGGCTCCCAGCCCGTGGGTGTTGTAGCCACCCTGGCCCTTGGGTGCCGTTCCCATCCCAGCCTCAGTGGCAGCCCTGCCTGAGTGTGTTTCCCCACCCTGCTGGCCGGTGACACCGCTCTCTCATGTCCCCCAGGGAGGCCCTCCAGGTCACACTCAACGATGTCACTGTCTGTGCGCCCGCAGCGCCGAGTCCTCGTCACCAAGATCAATAGGAGCCAGTCCTTCGCCGGAGTGAACTCAACAGCCGACCGGCCCTTCAGGTAGGAAACGGGTGCTCATGCTGCCTGCCACCAGGGACGGGGACAGGGACGGGCTTGGGCGTGGTGGCAGGACCTGCTGTGCACCCTGAGGCATCTTCCCAACCCGCTGTCCTGGCATCTCCCGCAGGGACCTTTGTGGTACCCACGGGATGTCACAGGGGGGCTGCAGGGAGCATCGAGATGGGAAGCGTCACCCCAACTGCACTGTGCCGTGTCCCAGCTGCACGAGGACCCTGCAGCCCCGTGGCTGCTGCCACCAGAGCATGGAGGGGGCACGTGTAGCTCACCCTCGTTCTCCAGTCAGCTCTTAAGGACTTCCCTGTGACCATCTCATCCTGGTTAATGGGTATGGTGAAGGAGCTGGGGTGGCTTTTGAAGCGGTGTCTCGATGGCCTTGACCTCCTGGGACCCTTGGCTGGTTTTGGGGTTTGAGGGCTGGTGTGAATTAGGGTTTCCTCCGGATCACTTCAGACCTGTCGCTGAAAGGTTTTATGGGCCGCCCATCAGCTGCGTCGCGAGGAGCAGCTGTTCCCTCCTCATCCTCTCTGGCTGCTGGCGATGTTACGGTCCCATGGTACCCTCCCTCCTCTTCTCTGCTCAACCTCATGTCAGTGAGAACCGCCCCATGCGCTGCTCATCCCTGCCACCCTCCTCCCCACCCTCCCTAGCTCCTGGCTACCCTCTTGCCGGTGGTTCTCAGGTCATGGGTATGCCATGGCTTTGGGCTGCAGGACTTCAATGCTCTTAGTCCCTTTTCCTAGCACCCAGCCAGGCTCCTCACCTCCCAGTGCACCCACTGGTGCCCAGGGAGAGACATTGCTCAGCCAAAGGGCTGGGGAGAGCAGTGCCAAGCTCCCTGGCTATGGGCCACCTTTACTGGGTGGGCACAAGCCCAGGTAGAGCCTCCCCATGCCTGGGAGCAGACCTCCAGCCCTACTTGGCTCTTGTCCTCAGGTCCTGTTCAGCCTCTGAGCCAAGAGACATGCTCCAGGGGCACCAGCATGTCATGGGATCTAAGAGTGCCAGGAAGAGCTTGCTTGGGGACAGGGGAGAGGGAGGACTTTTGGATGCCCACTGATGGAGAGATGCTTGTGGGAGATGCCTCCAGAGGCCCTGGAGGAGAGGAGTGAGGAGGGATGGTGGAAATCAAGTGCTTCCCATCGCTCTGGCTTGGGAGGAGGCCAAGACATTCATTTCCCCCCCCAACCCCGCAATGATTCAGGGAAGTCTTTCGGCCGCTCCTGCAGAAGAGCGGCACAGGATGGGAGGTCCAGACTGGGGATGGGAACTGAGGAGCCCGTGATGTCTCCTGGGCACTGGTGGCGCGACGATGTGTTGGGAGGAGGAAGGGAAGAGCTGGTCTGAGTGGGGCGTTGGTGGCTGGGCTGGGGAGCGACTCCATTGCACAAGGCAGGAAGGGTGGTGTTCGGGTCCCGGGTGCTGGATCAGCATCTCTTCAGGTCCCCAAGGCAGTGGTGGGGCAGGTGGAGGTGACAGGCAGCTGGCAGCTCCATACAGTGGGTTTGGTGACATCTGAGGAGGCGTAGCATCAGTGAGGATGTCCGTACCCCGTCTTGCTGCACTTTGGGATGGGGTGACAGCGCTTGCTTGTCCCTAGGATGCTCCCCTGCTGGGATCCCTGCCTGTCACTGGGAGCTCATGGTGGCAGGACAGCAAGCTGATGGTGGCATGTGTCCCCCTGCCACAGTGCCCAGACCGTGGGGAGCATCTCCATGGCCCTGGCCACCTGGGGTGCTGGGGATGGAGCAGAACATGGGCCCTTTAGGGAGTGGCCAGGGCTGGAGTTGTCCCCACGGGCACTCCAGGAACACAGTTTGGTTGCAGCTGGTGTCAGCTCCGTTTGCTTTTGCTCCCCCTGACCAGCGCGTGGGACCCACAGATCTCCTCAGAGACTACCCCAGTTTCTTGGACCCCACTGGGATGGGTTGCCTCCTTGCTGCTCTCTCCCACCAGCTTTGTGGGTTTCTCCTTGTCCTTCCCATGGCTTTGGGGCAGCTGAATGTATCGAGGGGGCTGCAGGCACCCAGGGCAGGCAGCACTACCCAGCCTCACATCCCCATCTCGCCCAGCCCCGCTGGCTGGTTAGACTGGCTGCTGGGGAGTCCTGGGAGAGGCAGACAGGTCCGGGCAGACCTGGCCTCCATCCCAGAGCTCCTTCTTGTCTCGAGAAAGGGTGCCCAGCAAGCTGGGGCACCCAAGATGACACTGGTACTGCGTGCTGACCCCCGTCGCCCTGGTTTTGCCTGCCTCTCTCCCCAGGAACCTCTCGCCCTTCACCCCCACCGTCTCCCGCAAGACTGGCTCCAGGGTCAGTAGGATGTTCTCAATGTCCCACAAATCGCCACCACCCAAGGTGCCTCAGCCCAACCGCCTGGACGAGGTGTACGAAGCTCTCAAGAAGGGCCTAACGTAAGTGCTGGGGCTTCCCATGGCTGGGTGAGGGGCACAGGGACAGCTTGCCGTGTGGGTTGGGGTTGGCAGGTCTCCCCTTTCATCACCAGACAGGGACATGCTAGGTCTCCTGGGCACAGTGTCTTGGGGTCCCAGAACGGCGTGGGGTCCCACCACGTCCCACATAGAGGCACCTGTGGGCCCCAGATATGCTGGGTTGCTGTGGGCTGTGGGTGGCAGGAGCCCTGGGCAAGGTGTCCCAGCTTGACCCCTGTGGTGTGGTTGCCCCCAGAGCCTACCTGGAGGTGCACCAGCTGGAACTGGAGAAGCTCAGCACCCAGATACGTGAGTCCAAGAGGAATTCGCGCCTGGTGAGTCTTGCTGGGAAGATCCTTTGGGGCAAACGGCCGGGGTTGTGGGCACGGCTGTGGCAACTCGTGGTCCATCTGTGGCCCAGGGCAGACCTGCTTCTGTTGGGGACATCAGGGGCCAGCCCGGGCTGTGGTGCTGGGCTACACATGGCTCCTGCCCTCCTGTCATGCAGTCCCCAGCCCTGGCTGGGTGCTGCATGTCCCCGCCGACGTGCTATGGGTGGTGGGTGTGCGATGTGCCGGGTCCCCTTGGGTGGGCAGAGCTGGCTTTGTGCTGCGTTTTATCCTTCTCCTCTCTCCTCCAGGGCTTTCTCTACGATCTGGATAAGGTAAGCGGGATCCGTGTCTCCCCTCATCCTGGTGCCAGGGATGTGCTACTGCCAGCCCCTTCTCTGCTTGCCTGCCCCTCAGTCCCCTGCATGTGGGGTGGGATCTGCGGGTGAGGTGGGTCTGGGCCGGGGATGAAGCAGAGACAGGCAGGGGCTTGTAGCCCGCTTCTGGCAAACAAAAGCTGTGGTTGGGCGAGTGCTGAGCCTGGGTTAACTCTGGGGAGGCTGGGAGAAGAGCACCCAAGAGCTTGGCTTGTCTCCTGGGGGATCCTCCGGAGCAGGGGAGGCTGGAGGGTGCTGGAGAACCTGGGGGATGGGGTCACCAGGCAGGGCTGGTGACCAGGATCCATCCCAGCCACAGCCCGGGCATGCAGCAGGGTGCATCCTGACCCACAGCTCCTCTCCGGAGGGGCTTGGGCTGTCTCTCATGCCCTCTCCTCTGCTTTTCCAGCAAGTGAAGTCCATCGAGCGCTTCCTGCGTCGCCTGGAGTTTCACGCTAGCAAGGTGAGAGCTGGGGACCAGAGGGGGTCACCTTGGGGCTCCCTGGGTGCAGTGCTGGGATGGCCGTGCTGTCCCCTGCCCTGCCCCTCACTGCAGCTCGGGTCTGTCCTTCCAGATCGATGAGCTCTACGAGGCTTATTGCATCCAGCGGAGGCTCCGTGATGGAGCCCACAACATGGTCAAGGCTTACAGCACGGGCTCACCGGGCAGCCGGGAGGCACGTGAGAGCCTGGCCGAGGCCAGCAAGGGCTACAAGGAGTACACGGAGGTGAGGCCACTGGCTTGGGGTGGGCTGGTAGGGTGCTGGGTCCCGTGGGTGGCTGCTGATGGGTCCTTCTCTGTCCCCAGAACATGTGCCTGTTGGAGAACGAGCTGGAGAGCCAGCTGGGGGAGTTCCACGTCCGGATGAAAGGTAACTGTGTCCCGCTCCATCCCTGCCCTGCTGCCTGCCTGCCTGCCTGCTGCCTGCTGACGCCCCTCTGCCTTCTCTTGCAGGACTGGCAGGCTTTGCCCGGCTCTGTGCTGGTGACCAGTACGAGGTTGGTGGGGCTCTAAGGGTTGGGATCTGCTCTTCTCCTGCCCTTGGTCCTTGGGGTGCCTGGGGGGGAGTGTAGGTGGGCGCTGGCATGGAAGCATGTTGCAGGGTGGTGGTGGGTGGCAAGATTCCCTGGCCGTGCCCGGGGATGCGCAGAGAGCACCCACCACCCCGGGGCTGGGTCTCCCCCGTAACCTACCACCCCTCTACGTCCCCAGATCTTCATGAAGTACGGACGGCAGCGGTGGAAGCTGCGGGGGCGCATCGAGGTGAACAGCAAGCAGGTGTGGGACAGCGAGGAAATGGTTTTCTTGCCCCTCGTCACCGAGTTCCTCTCCATCAAGGTACAGTGCAGAAAGGGGCAGGGATGGTGTGGAGCCACCCTGCACCCCAGCAGGGCTTCCCTGAAGGACCTCACTTAAACGTCACCCTCACTGGGATGGAGAGGAGGCCATCTGGTGGTGGTAGCGTCCCAGCACACAGTGTGAGGTCCATGGCTTCACCTTCTCCTCTCCTCCCTCTCCTTCCCCAGGTGACGGAGCTGAAGAGCCTGGCCAACCATGTTGTGGTGGGCAACGTGTCCTGCGAGACCAAGGACCTCTTTGCGGCTCTGCCCCAGGTAGTGGCTGTGGATATCAATGACTTGGGCACCCTCAAACTCAGCCTGGAGGTGACCTGGAAGTGAGTAGTTCAGCAGGCATTTCTGGTAGCACGTGGTGGGGCTGGGGACGCCTGGCACGGTCTGGCAAGAGGTGGCCTGTCCTGGGCTCTCTCCCGTCCCAAAGCTGGGCTGCCAGAGCTGGAATGGATGGCATCCTGGTGTCCTGCTCGCTGCAGAGCAGGGTTGAGATCTGCTCCTGAGGGCTGGCAACACATTCTTCACCTTCCTGCTGTCCTCCCCAGCCCCTTCGACAAGGATGACCAGCCCTCGGCAGCCAGTACTGTTAACAAGGCCTCCACGGTGAACAAGAGGTTCTCCACCTACAACCAGAGCCCGCCCGACACGCCATCCCTGCGGGAACAGGCTTTCTATGTAAGTGTGACACCGGGCAGGGCTGCTTGGGTGAGGGGGTCCGTGTGGGGGCGTCCCAGAGGGTGGCACGGCTCGGGGACAGGGGTGGGCAGCTCTTCTCCAGCCATACGACCATGGCTCCCAGGTATCGGCCCCTCCTCCCCCCGTGCTCACAGCTCCTCTTCTCTCTGCCCAAGAGCCTGGGGCGGGCGGCCGACAAGCACGATTGGTCCTTGCTGGACATCTTTCGGGAGACACTCTTCGAGAAGCTGTCTCAAAGCTGCTCCTGCGGCGACGTCTCCTCGGCCGAGCTCGGCCGCGTAAGTGCCAGGGCTGGAGCCGGCCAGTAGCTTAGCCCAGCGGTGTGGCCATCCCGCAGTAGCCGTAGCTCCTTGTCTCCTACTCACTAGCCCTCCGCTGATGGCCAGAGGCCTGATCCTGCCAGGCCAGGGCCTGGGGAGATGTTCCCCAAGCTGGGGGAGCCTCTGTCCGCGTGCCCTTGCGCAAGAGCTGGGCACTAGTGAGTAGAAGGCTTGTCCGTGTCCCTGCACTGGTGGCGTTGGTGTGCTGTGCCGTGGCATTGGCGTAGTGTTGGTGGGACAGTCCTGGTGTGACACTGCTGGCGTGGCACCGGCGTGATGCTGGCGTGGTTGCTAGTGTGATGCTGACATGGCGTTGACGTGGCCAACGTCTGTATGGCCACTGGTGGGACGCTGGCGTGGTGGTCAGTGCTGCCCCGCCATGGCGGGTGGTGTCCTCTGCTGGACATGTCACATGCCATCATGGCCGGGATGGAGATGCCCGCTGTGCTGGGGAGCTGCTGGCACCCTGGGGCTCCGGGGGCCTGGGGAGCCGGTCTCCCCCTGACCATGGCACGGGGTGCAGGGCTGGAAGGGGCAGCCATGGTCTCCTCCCCACCCGTCCTGCTGTGCCAGCAGAGCCGAGGCAATGTGGCAGTGTGGCAGCGGGCACCGGTGGTGGCAGTGGCCTCGCTGCCCTCTGGCTCCTGCCCCCGGTCGAAGGGAAGGGCAGCCAGAGGAGCAGGAGGGTCTTGGCTGACACCATTTTGCCCCCCTTCCCCAGAACATGCTGCGGCGCCAGGAGGAGCTGGAGAACGGCACGGCCTGGTCCATCTCCTCCGAGTCCTCGGACGACTCCTCCAGCCCCCAGCTGTCCAGCAGCTCCCGCCACGCCGCCCACAAGCCCATCGTGCAGCCCGAGGTGCAGGCCTCCGCCCCCGCCATCGAGATCTCCTTCTCCCAGCAGCCAGCGGAGGCTGGGGCTGGCGGCGGCAGTGATGTCGGCGTCCCCCCCTCTGGGAGCCAGCCGGAGGAACCGGGCAACCGTAAGAAGGATACGGTGGCCAACGGGCACGTGCCCTACTCCCGGACTCTGAGCCACATCAGCGAGGCCAGCGTAGATGCCACAATGGAAGCCAAGGCTGCAGAGGGCCCCTGGGAGCCCGCGCCCAGTCCGGAGGACACGGAAATGGGCGAGCAGGACGTGGACCCCCTCCCTGGTGCCACCGTGGCCGCGGCAGGGCAGGACAGGGGTGCCGAGGCCAAGCCCCGTGCCACCGCGGCGTGGGCCACCTCCTGTGAGGTGGAGGCCGGTGGGGACGAGCCGGTGCAGAGCCAGGCGCCGGCACGGGGCGGCTGCGGCTCCGGGGTGACAGCGGCGCTGGCGCAAGCCCCCGCGGAGGAGAGGCCCGTCCCAGCCCCGCCGCTGGCTGCCACCGTCCCCGAGGTGCCGCGGGGGAAGGCAGTGGATTCGGGTCTGGAGGAGGCTATCGGCCTCCTGGGCTCGGCCCTGGATGACTATCGGGGGCAGTTCCTGGAGCTGCAGCCCCTCGAGCGGGAGCTCAAGCACCTGGAGGAGATACTGCTGGTGAGGGGCTCCCGGCAGTGCCAGGGGACACCGGGGATGGGGCCCTCTCTGGTAGCAGGGACAATGGGGATGGGGTCATCCCTGATAGCAGTGCCCAGGGGTGATGGGGACAGGGCCATCTCTGGTAGCAGGGACAATGGGGACAGGGCCATCCCTGCTGGCAGTGTCCAGGGACAATGGGGATGGGGCCATCCCTGCTCAGAACATTCAGGGACAATGGTCCATCACTACTGGCAATGTCCACAGATGATGGGGATGGGGCTGTCATGGCTGGCAGGGCCGTCCCTGCTCACAACACTCAGGGACGATGAGGACTATCACTAGGGCAGTGATGGTCCACCAGGGCCATCACTACTGGCAGTGCCCACAGATGATGGGGATGGGGCTGTCATGGCTGGCAGTGCCCAGGGACAATGGGGACGGGGCCATCCCTGCTGGCAGTGCCCAGGGGTGAGGGTGGCAGGGCCATCCCTAATAGCAGTGCCTGAGGAAAAAAGAGATGGGCCCATCCCTGATGGCAGTGCCTGGGGACAATGGGGACAGGGACATCCTTGATGACAGTGCCCAGGGACAACTGGGGACAGGGCCATCCCTGGTGACAACACTCGGGGACGATGGGGATAGGGCCACCCCTGCTGGCAGTGCCCGGGGACGTGGGTGGCAGGGCTGTTGTGGCTGGCGAGCCAGGATGTGACACCACCATGCCTTCCTCCGCAGCAGAAGCAGGGTGTCTTCCTCAGCCGAGCCTCCAGCATGAGCCTGACGGTGGAGCACGCGCTGGAGAGCTTCAGCTTCCTCAACACCTCTGACATGGAGGACTCAGAGGGCTCTGAGGAGGAGCCTCTCCACGACGAGAGGTGCAGAGCGGGGCCTGTGGGATGGGGGCGTGGGGCAGGATGTGGCCCTGGGGCAGTCAGGATGGGGGGTGCCCAACTGTTCTCGGGTCCCCAAGCCTTAGACCAGCCCATCACAGCTCAGAGCCAGGTGCAGGTCAAGAAGCAGCAGGTTGTGGCCCTTCTGGTGGCACAGTGCTGCCCCAGATTACTCCGTGGGGGCTGTGCTGGGGGGCAGCCCCCACCCCTGTCACCCCAGGACTTGCTGCTTCACCCAGCCCTGACACCGTGATGCTGTAGGTCCTACAGAAACCGTCCAGTGTCATCCTTGTGGGGTGGGGAAGGTCTAGGTCCAGTTTTCCCACTCTGACCTGCTGCCTCCATCCCTGCCTGGCTCGCAGGAGGGCTGGCAGAGCCCGGCGCGGCAGCAGGGCCCCCAGCACCGGCGAGACAGGGGGAGACAACACCGGCACGTGCAGCGGCTCCGAGGCCAGCACCGACCCCTTGAGCACTGGCAATGAGTTCCTGGATAAGGCCCTGGTGCTTCACCTCAACAACTGCAACCGCCTGCTGCTGGTGAGGACAAGGGCTGTGGCGCGGTGGCAGGAGACATCCTGGGGAGGGACGCCCTGGCACAGAGGCTGTAGTTGGTCTTGGAGGGGGGGGTGAAGGGGTTGACATGAGCTTCATCCCTGAGGTCCCTGGTTTGGCTGTGCCTTTGCAGAAGCTGGGCAACTTCGGTCCCCTGCGGTGCCAGGAGATGTACGCCCTGGACAGGCTCATGCGGGAGGCGCAAGTGCTGGAGATCGTGTGCCAGCTGACAGAGGAGCGAGCAGGAGCCGCCGGCTCTGCCGCCGAAGGTAAAGACACGCAGCTGAGGGGGGGACCATCTGTGCTACCAGGTTGGCCACTGCGCTGTGACAGGCTGAGGGAGCTGGGGGGGTTCAGCCTGGAGAAGAGAAGGCTCCGGGGAGACCTTCCAGCCCCTTCCAGTCCCTCAAGGGGCTCCAGGAAAGCTGAGGAGGGACTCTGGATCAGGGAGGGGAGCCCTAGGAGGAGGGGGAAGGGTTTGACCCTGCAAGAGGGGAGATGGAGCTGAGATGTGGGGAAGAACTTGTTTGGTGGGAGGGTGGTGAGAGCCTGGCCCAGGTTGGCCAGAGAAGCTGTGGCTGCCCCATCCCTGGAGGGGTTCAAGGGCAGGTTGGAGGGGGCTTGGAGCACCCTGGTGTGGTGGGAGGTGTCCTTGCCCAGGGCAGGGGGTGGCACTGGATGCTCTTTAAGGTCCCTTCCAAACTAAACCATTCCATGACTCTATGATTCTATATCTCGAGGGCTGCGTGGGGCTCAGTCCCCCCATCTGCATGGCCTGGGCAGCGAGGGGTTTTTGCTGCCCACCCCACCCCAGCCCCAGGGGGGTCTTGACAGTTGTCTGTCCCCGCAGTGGTGCAGTTCTCCACACAGAAAGAGGGTGTCCTGCCCCTTTGGGACTGCTGCGTGGAGGCACCCAATGTCTACACCTGCCCCGTGGAGCGGTTCCTGCAGGTGCTCAGCACCCAGTACACGGCACCCTTCAGCGAGCGGCACCCTGACCTGGCCGACACCGGTGAGTGGGCGCACAGGGGGTGTCACTGGGTGACAGAGGGGTGGCCATGGCCCCTGCGCACCCTGACCCCGGCGCCTTTTCCTGCAGTGGGTGTGAAGCTGGTGGAGGACATGCTGAATCGGCGGCTGCCCCGGCGGCCGGGCAGTGTCCAAGGCGAGCAGGTCACCATCTTCCAGTACTGGAGCCACTTTGAGTCCCTTGGTCCCCTGGTGCTCGAGACCTACGTGATGGAGCTGGCTGAGGAAGGTGGGTGCCCTCCCACCTTCTCTAAACCCTGGCATTCAGTGGTGGGCCACCACCATAGGGGATCATCCCACAGCACCACTGTGATGCCCTGGGGCATCACCCAGGGGCTCAGCCATCCTTGGGGTGGGCAAGTAGGTCTGATCTGGTGCACACTGCCTTCCTGAGCACCCTGGGTCCATGCCGTACGTCCGTAGGGTGCCCCAGCAGCCCCACGCATTGGTACCCTGTGTGGGGGCCACCTCTTGCCTGGCATGGGTGTAGGACACCCAGAGATGGGTTCCAGGTGGCATGAGGGGACATGTAGGGCAGTGCCACTGGGCTCAGCCGGCGTTTCCCCACAGCGCTGCTGGCCCAGAACCTGAACTCGGATGACCAGGACGTGGTGCTGCGTGCCCTGAAGCGGGTGCCCGAGGGCCGCCTGAAGAAGGAAGGGCTGAAGGCCCTGAGCCTGCTCCTCGTGGAGGGCAACAGCAAGGTGGTGAGCGCCGTGTCAGCCCAGCTCCGCAGCCTGGCGGAAAACCCCCGCTTCCGCCAACGGGTACGTGCTGGGCAAGCCGGGGACAAAGCGGGCTAGTGCCACGGTCCCCAGGGTGCTGACCACCAGCTCTGCTGGGGACGGTGGAACTGACCCCCTCGTGTCAACCCCCAGGCTCTGGTGTGCTACCTGGAGCAGCTGGAGGATGAGGAGGTGCAGACGCGCGTGGCTGGGTGCGCAGCGCTGGGCTGCTTGAAGGTGAGAAGGAGGTGGGGAGGAGGCAGCAGAGTCCGGATACACCTGGAAGAACCTCCTGCTCCTGGGAGAGAGGAGCTGGAGGTGTCCCCAATGCGCTGGAGAAGCAGGAGGGGGCAGGGAAACGGGGAGGGAAGGGACAGGACGAGGGACTTCGCTGCACCGTTGGGTTGGGTTGGGTTGTGTGCTCAGCCCCTGGTTCCTTGTCCCGCAGGCCAAGGAGAGCATCGAGCAGCTGATTTACCTGTGCCAAACCGACAAGGAGCCCGTGCGGGAGGCGGCCAAGCAGAGCCTGATGTTGTGCGGTGAGTGTCCTGCTGCTCCTCTCCATCCTCCCTTCCCTCCCCACCCACCGCATCCCCCCGCGGCGTCTCCTGGTGCCGGCAGCGCCCGCGGGAAAAGGGGGTGGTCCCTCTGGCTCATCGTGCCTCAAGCTCTGCCGGGCCAAGAGCAAGCGGGCAACAGGGGCCAGGCGTCCAGTGGCCACAGATCGCTAAGCCTGGTTGTTATCTATTATTTGCTAGATGGCACTGAGAGAACCATCTGAGTGGGGTTTCTAGGCCTCCAGATCGCGGCAGCTGCTGCACAGGTTGGGACACGTGAGCTGTCCTTGTGTCCCCCTCCGCCTTGTCCCCACTCCTGCCGCTTTGCTCACGATTGTCTCCGTCTTAGAGCCTGTCAGCCACGTCACTGTTTTTGGAGTCTGTGTGTCTTGGTTGTTCATAGAGCCCGTCCCCGTGACACCCTGGCACGTGTAGACGCCTCGTGTCCCATGTCCCAGCAGATTGTCTATGTCACCACCTCTTGCTGGGGATGGCCGCCGCGGGCAGATTGGCGTGCGGGGGGTGGCCAGGAGAAGGTCTTGGAGCCAGCTTGTAGCATGGATGTGTACATCCTTGTGCCTGCCCGGGGGTCCTGGGGAAGCCCTCGGGATCCTACAGGAAAGCTGGAGAGGGACTTTTGGCAAGGGCATGGAGTGATAGGATGAGGGGTTATGACTTCAAGCTGGAAGAGGACAGATTGAGATGAGATCTCAGGAAGAAATTTTTCACCCTGAGGGTGGTGAGAGCCTGGCCCAGGTTGGCCAGAGAAGCTGTGGCTGCCCCATCCCTGGAGGGGTTCAAGGGCAGGTTGGAGGGGGCTTGGAGCAACCTGGTGTGGTGGGAGGTGTCCCTGCCCAGGGCAGGGGGTGGCACTGGATGGTCTTGAAGGTCCCTTCCAATCCAAACCATTGCATGACTCTATGAGCCCCATGCATGCAGATGTGCACCGCTGTTTGAGACGCTGGAGCAAGCACAGCCCTGAGCTCCAGCCCCTTTGGCCAAAGCTGTCATTCCAGTAGCCCAGACGTGGGTGATCCCTGCCCCACGTGGGCACGGGTAGGGCAGGTGGCCGAAGAACAGGATTTACAACATCTGAATCAGGAGCTCTGGGGGCTTTTTGAGCCAGATCCTGGCTGGGACCTGCCTAAGGAGGACAAGAGAGGTCTCACTCTGTGGCCATAGCATGCCGGCTCAGTTCTGCTGGGCATTAGCCACGTTTCCCTGGAAAAGCCAGCTGCGGATGGACAGGGGACAGAGCTTCTGCAGTTGGGTTTCCTGACCATGGCGTGTACTTGCAGGGGAAGATGGTAAATCCGCTCACCGGCGGCTGGAGGAAACCCTGGAGAGCCTCCCAAGGATCTTTGCACCAGCCAGCATGGCCAGTACAGCTTTCTGAGATGCCACGCAAAGCCACCCGCCATTCCTCGAGGGCAAAAGCACTGGCTGGGCCACCTGGGCTTGCACGGATGGTGGCCAGCCGGCAGCTCCGGCTCCGGGCCGCACACCGCAGTATTCCCCCCCGCTGGGCAGCTCGCCGCGGCCGCACACTGCCTTACGGAGCACCGCGTCCCCCCACCGCCCAGGTGCCACCTCTCGCACCCCCCGGGGCAGGGGGTGGAATCTCGCTGCACATCCCACCTTCTCTGATCGCTATTTAAAACACACGGGGACGGGGGTGGGGGGTGCCCACCCTTCCTGCCTCCGCCCTGCGCCGCTGGGACCGGAGCAGCAGGGAGACGGGATTTCTCTGCCTCCTCTTTGCCTTCCTCTCGCTCGTGGGCACCTGCCCTTGTTCCCGGAAGGACCTGCACTTTGGAAACCACGGCCGTTTCGTTCCAGGGGGGAACTGCTGCCCTTTTGCCACCTGGAAGTTCCCCAAGGACTTAAATAAAGTGAAATATGAGATATTAATATATTCTGCTGGCGTTTCTTCTTTCCAGCTCCCCGTGCTCCTGTCCCTCCCTGGCTGTGGCTGTAGGGAGTATGGCCAGATGTGGTCTCTCCTGCTCTGCTGGGAAGCGCCGGGGAGGGCAGGGGCAGGAGGAGCGACAGAGGGACGGACAGACGGACAGACAGAAGCTGCCACCCTTTTTTTTTTGTTGTTGTTGTTGTCATTGTTTTATTTTATTTTTTATTTACAGATTTTTGCAGAAAAACAAAAGCAAAAAATTCTTTTCTATAATGTCTCTATAAATCTATATATAATGTAATTACAGAGAACAACTAATTTTGATTTTAAACCAGAAATAAAAAAACCCAAACCTTTACCGAGTGCCGCTGTGAGGGTGTTTCTTTGGCCCCACTGCCCCAGGGGGCAGGGTAGCTGGTAGGTGGCACGACGGGGGTGACCAGCCCAAGAAGCCACCCTGGTTTCTACTGTCTTCTGTACCTTGGTGCGGTGTCTTGGCACCTTCAAAGGTCATCAAGACCAATCTTCAACTCGACCAAGTTGCTCAGAGCCCCCTCCAGCCTGACCTTGAATGATTCCAGGGATGAGGCTCTGGAAGCCACCTCTCTGGGCAACCTGGGCCAGTGTCTCATCACCCTTCCTTATACCTACTCTAAATCCTCCCTGTTTTAGTTGAAAACCCCTTGTCCTGTCTCAGCTTTGGCCAACCTGTGCCAGCGCTTGACCATTCTCACAGAAAAAAAAAAAAAAAAGCTTTTCTGAAGTTGAACTCCAGTCCCTGCACTTCAGTTTAAGTTTGGTGCATTGGGCACCACCGAGAGAGTAGGGTTGATGGTTGGACTCAATGATCCCAAGGGCCTTTTCCAACCTAGATGATTCTATGATGATGATTCTTTACCGCCCCCCCTGCCCCAGGTATTAATAGACAGGGATAGGACACCCCCCCCAGCCTTAATTTTTCCAAGCTAAATGGTCCCATCTCTCTCAGCCTCTTTTTGTACGACAGCTGCTCCAATCCCTTCATCATCTTAGTTTCTTCCCAGGGTTTCTGCAGCGCTCCAGGCTGGGGGCAGAGTGGCTGGAGAACTGCCCCGTGGAAAAGGACCTGGGGATATTGGTCAACAACCAGCTGAAGATGAGCCAGCAGTGTGCCCAGGTGGCCAAGGTGGTCAACAGCATCCTGACCTGTGTCAGGAACAGCGTGGCCAGCAGGACTGGGGCAGTGACTGTCCCCCTGCACTGGGCACTGGTGAGGCCCCACCTCGAGTGCTGGGTCTAATTTTGGGCCCCTCATGACAGGAAAGACACTGAGGAGCTGGAGCGTGTCCAGAGAAGGGCAACGGAGCTGGTGAGGGGTCTGGAGAACAAGTCTGATGAGGAGCAGCTGAGAGACCTTCTATCTCTTTCCAACTCCCTGAAAGGAGGGTGTAGCCAGGGGGGGTCGGTCTCTTCTCCCAAGGAATAGGCCACAGGACAAGAGGAAACGGCCTTGAGTTGCACCAGGGGAGGTTTAGGATGGATATTGGGAAAAAGTTCTTCACCAACAGGGTTATCAACCATTGGAACAGGCTGCCCAGGGCAGTGGTGGAGTCACCATCCCTGGAGGTATCTAAAAGCCGGGCAGACGTGGTGCTGAGGGACATGGGCTACTGGTGGGTTTTGTCAGTGTTAGGTTGATGGTTGGACTCGATGATCTGAAAGGTCCCTTCCAACCCAGCCAATTCTATGATTCTAAGTCCCAGGAGGTTACAGCCTCCACATCCTTTTTCCTCATGGGAGCAGAGTGTTTCAGACTGGTTCGAGCAGAAATGCCACTCGCAGCTGGGCACGCTGCAAAGAACCTCATGGTGCATGGGGTGACCTGGATGGGGACACCTCCTCAGCATAACCACTTTGGGATGCGGTTTTATCCGCAGACGGGATTGCAGGAAGGGGGGAACCAGGGGACATCTTGCTGCATCACTGCTCGCTTTGCCTTCCCCCAACTGCTTTGGGGGCTGGAGAAACCCCTAGAGGGAAGAAGCGTTTCTCCCAAAGCAGCAGCAAGAGATGTGGGTCCCAGCTGGCACATACAACTGTGGACAAGAGCACCCAAGAAGTGGAAAGAGCACCCAGGTATCTTTTATGCTTGGACTGGTTTCTTTCCCCGCCCCCCCCGAATAACTCCTGGAAATAAAACCAGCCCAGTGCCCCCATGGCCAGAGCCACGATTTCAGTTCACTCACCACCGCAACGTTTCTCCGTCCCTGCAGCACAATCCCACCTTCCAAGGTAACCTCACCTTGGCTGTAGAGAGACGGGAGGAGGAAAGCAGCCTTCTGTCAGGGCAGGTAGGGAGCTGCAGGTCAGGACAGAACGACTCCGCTCCTGGAACTGCAAGGAATAATCTCATTATTTAAGTGGCTTTGAGAACACCTGGGGGAAAAAAAAAGCCACCCAAACAGATTAATTTAGGAATCTATTGCCCAGCCCCTTGCTCTGAATGCCAGCATCGCCAAGGACCTCTGCCCCACAGACACTACCAGGTCACCTGGAATTGCAGGATTGTCATTTTAATTGGAATAAACTTAAAAAAAAAAAAAAAAAAGAAACTCTTGTTTTTTCAGACAGCACTCAATGAAAACCTTCACTGCAGTTTGCACCCTGCTTGTTTTTTATTTGAATCTGAGGGCTGGGGAGGAGCAGGACCACTGTCCCCCTTGTGGAAAGCAGGGAGGGGACCCCACTTTTCCCTCCGCAACCCAATGTCTCCTCCAGCCCTTGCGCAGGAACCGCTTTGTGGGCTGAAGCCCCTGGGAGCTGCTCTCATGGCACAGTGGGACAAAGGCAGCCCCGCAGTGCGTGTTTCGCAGCGGCACGTTGGCGATTTGGAAGGAGACAGCACTGCCAGCACCACGTTTGTCAGCCAAATCTGTGTCAGCGCCGAAAACATCTCCCTCTCGTAGGGACGTGCTTGTGCTCAGCAGCCTCTTGCTTTTCTTGTAGGAGCTGCAGCCCGTGGGAGGGTGTCTGTGTCACGGTTGCATTACCCATGTGCCTTGGCTTTGGAAAAGCATTTCTTTTCCCTATTTACTGCTGTTTTCCTTTGAATTAAAGGGGTGCATGGAGATTCTGGAGCACTTTGCGGTATCATTTTTTTACCTGCTGGTCTCAGGGTAGCGTTCTGAGGAGCCCCTGCAGATCATCAGCACGAAATAACCGATCACCCTCCTCTTGGGTGGTGTTGGTGCAGCTGCCCAGGCTGTGACACCAAGAGCACCCACCAGCCAGCACGACCCCGAGCAGAATCTGCCACCTCATAGCATCACAAGCTCCCATCGTCCCTCCCGTGTAAGAAATGACTCGAATCTTGATGCCAAGTCATTTTTAGGGGGCTGTAGTTTGGGAATCTCCGGTTTGAGCCGCCTCAAAATCGGACCTCTCGCCTTATCCCAGGCTTGTATGAAATCAGGTTTCCAAGGCATTCATGAGGGCACCGAGAAATTATAGTAGTGCGCGTGGAACCAGAGCAAAGCAAGAACCTCCTCACAATCATGGACGTGTTCCTCGCAGGGCTGTCAGGCACATACGCATGGGCTTGTTCTCCAAGGACCACTCCTCCGGTGAAAGCCGGGGCCTCGTTTCATGCAGAGACCAAAGTGTGCTCCAGGCAGTCTCCAAAACTGAATTTAGTGCAGGCTCTCAAACTCTCTACTCTCTTCCTTAGAGATGAGCGAGGAGAGGGGTGGTGACTCCTTGTACAGCGGGAGGGCGACAGAAGCACGGAGCTCAGAAGAGCAGGAAACAAGGAGGATGAGCTCACCTGGGTCAGGAGCTCCTCAGCATCATGGACAAGGTGTCTCTGGGAACGGCCTGGCTCAGGAAACTCCTCCAGGAGAAGCATCTGCCTCCGGGTGTCTAATTTGGTTTGGAGGCCGATTTTCAGGAGCACCCAGAACTAGGAGTGAAGCTGTGGTCTTGAATTCCCTGCAAATCAGCTCAAAAGTACCTCCAAGTGAGGAACCCAAGATCAATAGCAGGCACCGATAAACAGTCTGGGACACTTCTGGCAGGAGAAGTCCAGGAATAGGTGTTTGCTTGGGCAATTTCTGATATTCCAACTACAAACAAAAGGCAGAGGGATCATTAGCACTCATTTACTCACAGCCCTGGGTGAGTATTTGAAGGAGCATGAGAAGCAATTTCACACAGAGCCTGTGCTCCTCTCCATTTTGATTCGTGCCCTGAGCTGTTTTGAGCTTAAAGTAGGATTCTTGGCTGCACACAAAAAGATAGGCTGTTCTCCCCAAAATTACAGCACAAGAACTGATGGTTTGACAGCTTAGAATAAGCGTAAATGACTTTTAAAAAATTCACACTACAGAATCTCGTTTCCCCAGAAACGTTCTTAGCAGATTCTTCACGCCTTGCCGACTTAATTTCCTTTTTGCAACAAGGTCACCTGTTTAGTGGACGAAAGGAAGGCAGAGGATGTAGGGTTTGGGGGATTTTAGCATAGCTTCTGATGGTCTGAAAGAGGCTGGACTCAAAGATCCTCGTGGTTTCCTTTCAACTCAGGATATTCTGTTTCTACGATCCAGATTCCTCACACAATGCAAACCCCGGAGGTCATCGTTGTGGGCTACGCCCTGTCGCCTTGTAATTAACAGTCACTTGTCGCCATTGCTTTTTAACTATATTTTTTTCTCCTTTGGCCAAGCCTGAAGAAGAAGAGCTGCATCCTTGTGACTCCACACACCCAGCTTGTCCCCTCTGGCTGCTCAGTAAGCTACAGTTCCCCTGCTCACAGCGCTGCCCCAATGGCACTGCCACCTCTGTTTCTTCCTGAGAGAGCTCAGATGCAGGATGAACCTGAAACGCAGGGTCAGGAGCCAACCTTCTCCTCGGCCACCACCCCTCAGCCAAACTCCCTCCTCACGGAGCCTGCCAGGCCCTTCTCCTCATCCCCACCGCACAGCCCAAGGGGACACCAGCGGTATTCAGACTAGGATTTAAGCACACACTTTACACAGGTTATTTTATGCTATGTTTGTTGGATGGTTTTGCCGCTTGGGAAGCCTCGGCTGTTGAACAGCTTTTATTCTGCCCCCCAGTGACATCTTCAAGAGGGGAAAATTTGGGGCAAGGTTTTTTGCTATCAGTTTCAACTGTCTTACAGCTCTTTAGTCCGACTAGCTCGAGTGTGTGTTCAGCTTTCTTCACATTTAGCCTTCTCTCTGAATTCCCGCAGCTTCCTTCCAATGCCTCCTCTTTTCAAGCTATTAATATTTTAACCCATTACTCTAGCTCCACTTCACATGTTTTTCCGGTAGGAACATCCAAAGAGGATGCAGCACAAGCTGTTGGAATTCTCCCCTC